TCTCTGCCTTTATCAGTGAAGCTTTTCTGAAATATGTGACATGTAATGCATGGACCCGTGACTGCCCTAATACTGAAAATAAGTGACTGCTGAATACTCACCCCAAAATATACCTATTATGTATGTTCTGAAGCCAAAGAAAGGTAACAAGGGACTGCTGGAGGAATTTGATAGACTTGGGTGCTGTCTTTTAGATACAATATAGCAGTTACAATTATGCACATATAGCAGAAACAACTTGCAACATGTAGCAAGAAACAAAGGAACTGAAGGAGGTGATGAAAGAAAGGACTTGCAAGAGAGTATGAGGGAAGAGGGGAAAAGAAATGAGGAAGTAGAAGTTTAGCAAGAAGGCGGGGAATGTGGGGCGGAAAAACAGAAAGAAAAGACCTAAGAGTAGGAGTGGCCAGAAAAGGAGAGCAGAAGTGAGTAGCAGAGTAAAGATGGAAGTAGGAATGTCTGATTTATAGATTAGCTGGAATAAGTTTTATTCTGTCAAAATCTACATAAAATTTCTGCTTCTGCGACAAATTCCCTTTTCTTGTTTCAAATGAAATATTTTCCAGTTCCTTCCTCAGTGATATAAAAGAAATTGTGTTATTCCAATATTCCTAAAATGGCAATAGAGGGTTGTCTACAGGCCAATCTTTGGGAGAATTTTCTTCCAACTGAGGTTTACAGTTCCTAGATAATCATAGATTTTTTTTTCTACAATGACAAATTCTAACCACATACAAACTAATATATTGTGCTGTCATTGTGAAAGGAGCCATTAACTGAGCGCCCATGAATCCAGGAGACATGAGTGAATAAATGACTGGACAAACTCAAGTATGAGGATGCAGCTATCAAATAGATGATAATTGAAAGTTATGTGCAGTTTTACATTGAAAGCATTCCATTGAAGACTTTATCCTTAGTGTTTCATTTTAGAGAGTTTCATGGAGAAGGAATCTCTTGAGCATGAGAGAACAAAATGTGGACACAAACTCTGATATAACCAAAGAAAAAATTCCAGAATAAATGGATCACATACTAGTACTCCAAAACGGTATGAAAAATATGCAATTATTCTTGTGATCTTTTCCAAGATCTTAAAAGCACACTAAAAAGTCAGACAAAGCAAAAGTGAGACACACTGAGCATAATGTCTGAACAAAGTTGACAAAGCACTTATGAGGTGGGTGCTTTTGAGCTGGTACAGAATGGCAGGCTCCCCACCACTGCTACTCACAATGCAGACCATGCTGAGAGGAATAAGGGACACCACATATGGAGTGTTCAATGTGAAAGAGTTGAATATTCCCTGGGATTTACTGACAGATTGTTTTGAGCTATTCTCTGCCTTTCCCTGATGATTTATGTTACCAAGGCATAGAGAAAAGTCCTGAATCCCCATTTCTCTATGGTGATCTTCACCACAAGACAGTTTCTATTGTTCAAGCATCTTCTTCTCTTCACTTCTTGTCATCACTTAGGGATTTCTGTCTTTTTATTGCTTCCGGTAACATAGCCTTCAAAACTCGTTACATGTTACTGCTTTTTATGAAGTGTCATGAAGAGCTGACCGTCCACTCCTCATCAATGCAACAATAATATGTAGAAACCTGCTTTTGCAGTGTGATTTAAATGGTAAAGAGACAAGGATAGAAATGTAAATGTACATAGTGACAGACACACAGACAAACAGAAAACAGGAAGTAGTAAATATCCAGATATGGTGTCCCTGAGTGGGACAGTGAATACTCTGAGACCACTTATGTGTATGAAAATCCATCCCTTATATCTCCTCTCAGATAAAAAATTAAAATTACATGCCACTAGAAAGTTCTTATACCTACCAATGCTCAGACTAAATGGGAAAATTCCTGTCTCTAGAAATGTTCTCACTAAATGTTTTCTCTCTGACACCTCAGACAGCCTCTCAGACTGAATCCTCAGATTGCACTGGGCTCTTGTCCCTTCCTGTCTTATATTCCTTTCTCTGTCCAGCCATCTCACTCCTATCCTTACCTCCCTAGTGCTGGGATGAAAGGCATATCATCCCAGGTGTTGGGATCGCCTCTGTGTGAACTGTGTTTCTGTTTTGCACAGATTCAATCTTTTGTAGCCCAAGGTAGCATTGCACTCACAGAGATCCGTCCACCTCTGTCTTCCTAGTGCTGGATTTACAGGTATGTACCACCATTGCCTGGGCTCTATGGCTAACTAGTGACTTAGCTCTGCAGTCTTATCTTCAGGAAGCTTTATTTGTAAGATCACAAACAGAATATCACTACACCTCCAAAAGCTATGTTTTCATAAAACTGAACAATCCATAAAACTGAACAATCTTCTGAATTAAAAGATTAAAAAATCTGAATTAAACTGAACTTCGAACATAGCCATGTATTACTGAGTCAGAGAAACAATGAGAGAACTCCAGTGTGAGCTTGGACAGAAACCTCCCTACTCAAACCAGCATGGGCTATGGAGGACAACAGGTAATCCCAGAAAGAGAAGTGGTCACTTAAGAAACTAGGAAGTATATGAATATGCTGCATTTACACCTGTTTAACGTGATTAACTTTTTATTTTTTTTACACAAGGAAATCTTCTAGAGTACCCTTTATCTTTAATAACCTATTCATCTTGCTTTTTAATTTCACAATTAAACATTTTTGTTCCCCACAATACTCTAAGATGTCTAATTGCTTTTTGTCAGACAAACAGTACAATAATTATATATTCCATATATATATATATATATATATATATATATATATATGTACACATATATGTCATCAGGTGTCTGAAATTCTGAAACTTGTTGACTGTAAATTTTGCAAGACAGCTTGGGAATTTTGAATAATCTTTAATTCATCCTGTTTCTTTTTAAACTTGTAGAGAAACAACAATTTCTCCGAATTTATGTTAATTTCCACAGTTAGCTTGGAAAATGAGCCATCCACAGTTTTCTACTTCTAAACTAATAGGACCATATAAAAGTGTACAGTTGTTAAAATGGTTGCAAGATTCTATTTTTGAGCCTTTTCATTTTGGTAAAAAATTGCTTGCACCTCAAATCTAAGCTAATGATTTTTCTATAGGCAGACTGTGCAACTCAGACCACAAAATTCTCAGCCACAAATTTGCACATCCCACCAGACAACAGCTCCAGTCCCTGGTTCACCTCTCTCCAACCCTTCCCATGGGCAACTGAGTTCTATAATGTTCACAGTTTGCTGGTGCTTTTGTTGTTCCCAGAATTACTCCTCTGCACTCTCTGATGTTGGTGACAGGTAAAGCCTGGTTTCTCATGTGTGAGCTAGAGAAGTGTCTTCAGAGAAGCCCTGTTGGCTGTGGGCTCCATGTTAATGGATCATGAATGTGGGGCAGGTTTAAACTGGAAAAGAGAACATTTTCATCAGAGGCTAAGGCTTCTCTGGAAATTCATGCATTGACACCAACAGTGTGTGATGCTGCCTTGGGGACCACATTGACTACATTCTTAGAATCCTGACAGCAGAACACAGAACAGTGAATTGAATAACTTCATGCTATGCTGAACCCAGAGGTTCCAATGTCATAATTTCCAGGGTCAGTGTGAGGATCAGCTTACATGATTGCTCCTGAAATGGATGAACAGGATAAAGTTTTTAATCAGTTTGTTGGACATAATATATATGAGAACCAATACTCTCTTCTAATCCCAAAGTATTTTACTTTTGAACAAAAATATCTAGAACATTTTATGGAGAGCCTATCAATGTTAATTAAAAGAATTCATATATCTGCATTAAGGTAAATTACTGAACAAATAGGCACAGGCCAAGTTTACCCTCTGGAGTAGAAAAGAAGTAGCAGTTGTTTATAGAGATTCTCTTCTCTTCAGTATGTCCTCTGATTCATTCTAGATAATTTACAGAAAAGGAAATAGCTAGATGAGACCAGAATAACTGTTATTGCAGCATGAGCCCTGAAAAGGTAGTCAGGATTGATGAGTGATTCCCCTCATTCTGAATGATGATGGGATAATGTCACCTTAGAGTTAAGTAACAACTAAACAAATGTTAAAAGAGATTTTATAAATCATGTATAGGATTGTCTGCAAATAAATTTCCCCAAACTGAGAAGCCTCTTTAAAGTGAAGGACACAGTCAAAAAGACAAAAAGGCAGCTACCGAATGGGAAAAGATCTTCACCAACCCCACTTAAGACAAAGGACTGATCTTCAAAATATATAAAGAACTCAAGAAATTAGACTTAAAATTCAGAATAACCCAGTTCAAAATGGGGTATTGAACTAAACAGAAAATTCTCAACAGAAGAATCTCAAATGGCCAAAAGATACTTAAGGGAATGCTCAACATCCGTAGCTATCAGGGAAATGCAAATCAAAACAGTTCTGAGATACTGTCTTTCACCTCTCAGAATGGCTAAGATCAAAAACACTAATGATAGCTTATGCTATCATTATGTGGACTAGGCGAATACTCATTCATTGCTGGTGGGAATGAAAACTTGTACAACCACTTCAGAAATCAGTATTGTGTTCTCAGTAAATTGGGAATCAACTTACCTCAGGATCAACTTACCAATCTTGGGCATATACCTAAAATATGATATATCTTACTACAAAAGCATTGGTCCAACTATGTATATAGGAGCAGACAGAGATAATATCTAGAAACATAGCATTGTGGAGCTTTTCAATTTCCCACTGATCCTAAAGAGACATGACAGCGTGGAAAGACAACATTTTCTATGCGTATGGTGAAAAGGGAACTAAGTACAGTGTAGTGAATACTTAACAAGAAAAATGTGTACACAGAGCTATGTTAATGCTTCAATTTCTACTATTGCCATCAGTGTGTATGGTACCTTATATCTGCTCTGAGTACTGCCTTCTACCCAGGTCCACCTATGGAGCCTGCTATAGCAGGACAATATGTAAATAAGGCTTCTTTGTGCCTATATAAACTGGCCCTGCCTTGACATGGCAGCTCTGACAGAGAAGAGCAGCTCTGGATTCCCAAATCCTCCCAGTCAGGGTTCAGCACTGAACACAGGACACTCACCATGGACTTAGGGCTCATATTGGTTTTCTCTGTCCTGATTTTAAAAGGTAATTCATAAAGATGAGATACTGTGTGTTGTGTGGACATGAGAAAGAGAAAAAATGTCTTTTGTGTCAGTTTTCTAACCAGAATTCTGTGTGTTTACAGGTGTCCAGTGTGATGTGCAGTTGCTGGAGTCTGGAGGAGGCTTGGTGCAGCCTGGAAATTCTTTGAAACTCTCCTGTGCAGCCTCTGGATTCACTTTCAATAGTTATTACATGAGCTGGGTCCGCCAGGCTCCCGGGAAGGGGCTGGAGTGGGTAGCATCCATTAGCAGTAGTGGTGGTAGCACCTGGTATAACGACGCTGTGAAGGGCCGGTTCACAATCTCCAGAGACAATGCCAAGAACACTCTGTACCTGGAAATGATCAGGCTGAAGTCTGAAGACACAGCCATGTATTACTGTGCAAGAGGCACAGTGAGTGAATGCTACTGTGAGCTCAGACAAAAACACCACTGAGGGGACATAGGACCAGCAGGGGGCGCTGAGTCCACTTAGAAATCAGGGTCAGAGAAGAGCCTGCTCAGAGAATCATGGAATACTGGACTTCTCTGTGTCTGCACTGCCTTTCCATATCAAATTTAGGGATTTTCTCTACAGATAGAGTAATCCTTGAATTTCCAAATGTTTATTCCAGTTTCTTTTTCCTGTTGGGTTGTGTGTGTGTGTGTGTGTGTGTTTATTACAGTGTTTCTCCTTGTTTCCCTTTTACTCTTTCTGTCTACCTGTATCTTTCAATGTCTCTTTCTCTCTCACGCACTTTCTCTCTAACTACTCTCGGTGTGTGTGTGTGTGCTGACATATGATGTTCAACAGCCTCTGTCTTCCTTTTTTAGATGAGTGACAGGCACCGTTACACATATGTGCAGTCTGCTCTTATTTTTACCTTTTCACTCAGTTGTGTGAGTTGAACATGAGTAGTGAGATTCCAGCACATGCTGTGGTTCAACTACACAGTAGTCTTGAAAAGGTCATGGAGTCCAGACTCAGAACAGGAGTCACCAGCTGAAGGTGAAGTTTCCCTCTACTTCTTGTTGTCCTCTTCCTTCTGTTTTCTTCATTTGGTTTGATTTATCCTCAATACCCCAACATTCTCAAGTTCCATGCTCAGTAGACTGATCCTTTACAGAATCAGTTATAAGTGGTGGGCATCAAAAAACAAGAGTTTGTAATTCCTGGTGTTTATTTTAATAGTGTATAAATGCAGTCATCCAAAATTATTTTCTGTAGGAAAAAAAGGTGATGTTTTATTTATTTATTTCTCTATTTATTTATTTTTTATTGAAAATTTCTACCTCCTCCCCTCCTCCCACTTCCCTCCCCTTCCCCCACTCCCCCTCCCCGTCCCTCTCCAGTCCAAAGAGCAGTCAGGGTTCCCTACCCTATGGGAAGTCCAAGATCCTCCCTGTTTCCCCCAGGTCGATCCAAACAGACCAGGCTCCCACAAAGCCCATCCATGCAGTAGAATCAAAACTCAGCGCCATTGTCCTTGGCTTCTCCGTCAGCCTCCACCGTCAGCTACATTCAGAGAGTCAGGTTTGATCACATGCTCCATCAGTTCCAGTCCAACTGGCCTTGGTGATCTCCCATTAGATCAGTCCCATTGTCTCAGTGGGTGGATGCACCCCTCGCCTTCCTGACTTCCTTGCTCATGTTCTCCCTCCTTCTGCTCCTCTTTTGGACCTTGGGAGCTCAGTCCAGTGCTCCAGTGTGGGTCTCTGTCTCTTTCTCCATGCATGCCAGATGAAAGGTCTATGGTGATATGCAAGATATTCAGCAGAGTGCTTATAATATAGGGCCAGTTCAGGCGCTCTCTCCTCTGTTGTCCAAGGAACAAGCTGGGGATATCTCCTTGGACACCTGGGAACCCCTCCAGAGTCAAGTCTCTTGCCAACCCTAAAATGGCCCCTTAATTAAGATATCTACTTCCCAGCTCCCACATCTACCCTTCCACCATCCCAACTGTCCCATTCCCCAAAGCTCTCCACAGCCTCCCTTAAAAACCTCAGGAAAATGTGTAAACCTTGCCCTGTGCTTTTTTTTTATCCTCTCAGGAACCTCCCTCAATGAAAAAGAAGCCCTCCTGCTCAGACTAAAATTCAGGCCTAGAGGAATAGACCCATCTCTTTTTTACTAAAGCATCCAGTAGAGCATAGTTGTCCTGGTGCTGTTCCTCTGCCTGGTGACCTTTCCAAGCTGTAAGTGTTTCAGGGTTTCAAGAAAGAGACTCAGGCATGTCATCTGTGGGATGACTGTACCATGATTATTGTACCTGTTCCCAGGTTCCCTGTCCCAGGAGCAGCTGAAGGAGTAAGACCTGGTCTAGTACAGCCCTCACTCAACTTGTCCCTCACCTGAACTAATTGTACTTAACGAAAAAAAATCCTGAGTCAGCTACCAGAGCCAAAAACTGAAGGATCAGAAAAGCAGAGTAATCAGTCACTAGAGAGTTCTCACCTCTACCAATGTCAGTGGACTGTCATTACCAAGTCATGATGTAAGCTGGGTCTGTCAACCTCCAGGAAAGTGTCTGAAGTGGATGTGAAGAATCTGGAGTGGTGGAAGCAAAAATTATAATCTGATCTCAAATCCCAACTCAACATCAGCAGGGTCACCACCTATTGCAAGAATTCTAATTGTACTTAACGAAAAAAAAAATCCTGAGTCAGCTACCAGAGACAAAAACTGAAGGATCAGAAAAGCAGAGTAATCAGTCACAAGAGAGTTCTCACCTCTATCAATGCTCAGACCAAATGGGGAAGATCCTGTCTCTATAAAGCCTCTGACTGAATGTTGTCTCTCCAAAACCTCAGACTGCCTCTCGGACTGAAACCTCAGACTGGATCTGAGCTCTTGTATCCTCCTGTCTTATATTTCTCTCTCTGCCTAGCCAGGTTAAGCCAGTCTCTGCCACCCTAGTGCTGGGATTAAAGGCATATGATCCCAGATGCAGGAATCACCTTTATGTGAGCTCCAGTTCTCTTTTACAGAATCAATGTCTTCTATCCCAGGGTAGCACTGCACCCACAGTGCTGTCTTACAAGTACTGGGATTAAAGGATTGTGCCACCATTGCCTGACATATATGGCTATCTAGTGACTTATCTCTGAACTCTAGTCTTCAGGAAGCTTTATTTGTTAGATCACAAATAAAATATCATTACACCTCCAAGAGCAGTGTTTTCATAAAACTGAAAAATCTGCAAACTTCTAACACAGCCAGGTATACTGTGCCAGAGACACAGTCAGAGAAGTCCAGTGTGAGCTTGAATAGAAACCTCTCTACTCAAACCAGCAGGGGATCCTGAGGACCAACTGGAACTCTCAATATCACAGGTGGTCATGTCAGAAACTGGAAGCTCTGGCATATGCTTCATTTATACCTGTTTGATGCCCTCTAACCTTTAATTTTTTTCCCTTTTACACAAGGAAATCTTCTAGAGTTTCCTTTACTTGTCATAGCCTATTTATCTTGTTTTTTAATTACATACTAATCATCTGTGTTCCCACACATTCCTCTAAGATGTCCAATTGCTCATTGTCAGACAAATCAGCACATTAATATTATATATTCCATATATACAGTTCATCATATATACATATATATATTATCAAGAGCATGAAATTGGGAAAATTGCTGATTGCTAATGTAATAAGACAGTTTAAGAATTTTGAATAATCTTCTTTCATCCTCTTTTTTTCTAAACTTGTGACAGAGAAACCACAACTGCCCTAAATTGATGTTAATTTCCAAAGTTACTTTAGAAAATGAACCAAAACAGTTTTTTTTTACTTTTAAAACTAAGAGGACCCTATAAAAGTGTACAGTTGTTATAATTGTCACAAGATTCTATTTTCGAACATTAGCATTTTGGTAAAAAAATCCAAACTAATGCTTCTTCTATAGGCATATTGTGCAACACAGACCACAAAATTCTCAGACACAAATATGCACATCCCAGCAAACAACAGCTCCAGTCCCTGGTTCATCTCTCTCTTCAGTTCTTCCCATAGACAACTGAGTTCAATGATTTTCACAGTTTGTGCTTTTGTTGGTGCTTTTTTGCTCCCAGAATTATTCCTCAGAACTCACTGTTGTTGGTGACATGAAGAGTGGGTGTCTCATGTGTGAGCTAGTAAAGTGTCTTCAGAGGAGCCATATTGGCTGTGGGCTTAATGTTAACGCATCATAGACTTGGGGTGGTTTAAAAAGGAAACAAGAATCTTTTCACCTGAGGCTGAGGCTTCTCCTGAAATTCAGGCAGTGACACCAATAGTGTGTGATGAAGCTTTGGAGACCACATTGACTACATTCTTAGAATCCTGACAGAAGAACACATAACCGTGAATTAAATAACTCCACACTATGTTGAACTCAAAGGTGTCATTGTCATATTTTCCAGGGTCAGTGTGAGAATCAGCTCACATGGCTGCTCCTGAAATGGATGAATAGGGTAATATTTTAATGAGTTTGTTCAACCTAAAATATATCAGAACCAATACCTCTATTCTAATCCCAGGTTTTCACTTTTGACCAAGAATATCCAAAACTTTAATGGAGAACCTATCAATATTAATTAAAAGACTTCACATATTCACATTAAGGTAAATAAATTATTAAACAAATAGGCACAGGCAAAGTTTTCCCTCTGTCGTAGAAAATAAGCAGCAAGTGTTTATAGAGATGCCCTTGAATTTCACTTCTGTTCAATATGTCCTCTGATTTATTATAGACAATTTTAAAGAAGAGGGGATACCTAGATGATACATACGTATAATCTAACACCAGAATAACTGTTCATGCAGCATGAGCCCTGAAAGGATGGGGCAGAGATGATATGTTTCCCCCCTAATTCTGATTGATGATGGGATATTGTCAGCTTAGAGGAAAGCAACAGGTAACTAAATGTGAAAAAGTATTTTACAAATCATGTATAGGATTATCTGCAAATAAATTTTTTATACATAATTGAAGGACCTCACCAGTTCTTAGCTGGATGGGAACATGGTCCCAGATAAAGTTGCCTACCAAGTTATTTGATATTTACAAATATTCCTTAATCATTTGCTTTCTGAATTTTTGTTTTAAGCCTCAGTTATATAGTTTTTACTATTTTTTTAACTCTTTCTGTTGAGGATCCCTATGTGGGATGTTTTCCACCCAGCTCCTCCCACATCTTCCAAACTTGGGTCCCTACCAACCTTATACTTACTTAAGAACAGATAGTGATGCACATATCTGCTTGCATGTAAACCCAAGCACTGAATTAAAAGAAGCATACCAGTGACCATAACCTCAAAAATGAGTGGATATATCCCTTGTCCTGAAAAATATATTTCTAGCTGCTTCTCAGTAAGAAGTAGGACCAAGGAATTTTCAGCCCCATCTTTCAGGGTTTTGGCTGAATTGGCCCTATTTGGGATTAAAGAAATCTTAAGTGAAGAACAAGAGGGAAAATGCACAGGTAATACAGAGGTTTTCAAAGGAAAAGTTGGGTGTAGTGAGAAAAAGGGACTGAGTGGTTAGAAAGCAAAGCAAGAGAATTTGGGAAAATAAAAACAAAGCCATCTGAAAATACAAAATTAATGCAAAATATTTGTGTTTGGTTATAAACACTTATTAAATGTTCCCATTATGATAAAAACATAAATACGGAGAAATAAAAGTGACCTAAGACAACATGAAGCCAGCCATGTGATGGCTGGTATTGAGGTGGGAAAGGCATATTGGGGGAAACAAAGTGATCATAGGAAAATTTCATGATGAAAACAAGTAAGTGATGTAAATACAAATATGTCTCCATGGCAATCACTGAGAGGAAGACAGACAGAACAAAGAATGTATCATTGCAAAATTCATTGGGGCATATGACAGCACCTCTCGGAATAGATTAAAATCCAGAAAAGTTTCAAGTGATCCCATCAGCATTCACCTCAGGAAGAATCCATTTACAGCAAAGACAGAGAGACAGACAGAGTTAATATCTAGATACATAGTTGCGTGTGGAGCTTTTAAACTTCATGTTGATCCTAAAGAGACATGACAGTGTGGAAACACAGCACTTTCCATGCATAAGGTGAAAAGGGAACTAAGTACAGTGTAGTGAATCCCTAACAAGGGAAATGTTTACAGAGAGCTACATTAATGCTTCAGTTTCCATAACTCTCACCTGTGTATATGATGTCTTATATCTGCTCTGAGTACTGCTTTCTGCCCAGATCCAATTACAGAGTCTGCTATGGCAGGAAGATATGCAAATAAGGCTTCTTTTGCCCATAAAAACAAGCCCTGCCCTGACCCTGCAGCTCTGGCAGAGGAGACAAGCCTTGGATTCCCAAGTCCTCCCTGTCAGGGGTCAGCACTGAACACAGACCACATACCATGGACTTAGGGCTCATATTGGTTTTCTTTGTCCTTATTTTAAAAGGTAATTCAAAAATATGAGATGTTGTGTTTTGTGTGTACATGAGAAAGAGAAAAAAAAATTTCTGTGTCAATTTTCTAACATGAATTCTTTGTGTTTACAGTTATCCAGTGTGATGTGCAGTTGTTGGAGTCTGGTGGAGGCTTAGCGCAGCCTGGAAAATCCCTGAAACTCTCCTGTGCAGCCTCAGGATTCACCCTCCGTAGTTACCCAATGAACTGGGTCCACCAGGCTCCAGGGAAGGGGTTAGAGTGTGTCGCATACATTAGAAGTAATGTATACTATACCGATGCTGTGAAGGGCCGGTTCACAATCTCCAGAGACAATGCCAAGAACACTCTGTACCTGGAAATGAACAGTCTGAGGTCAGAGGATTCAGCCATGTATTACTGTGCAAGAGACACAGTGAGTGAATGCTACTGTGAGCTCAGACAAAAACCTCCCCATAGGGAACACTGGAACAGCAGGGGGCGCGGAGAGGACTTAAAAATCTGGGTCACAGGAGAGCCTGCTTAGAGAAGCATGGCAGACTGGACTTCTCTATGTCTGGACTGCTTCTCAATATCACACTTAGGGATTTTCTCTACAGGTATAGTGTATAGTAATCCTTGTGGGTCCAAATGTTTATTCGAATTTCCTTTTCCTCTTGTACTGTGTGGGTTTATTTATTAGTGTTCCTCCCTGTTACTCTATCTCTCTCTACCTATCTCTGCCTCAGTTTCTCTCACTCTCCCTCTTTCTTTCTTACTACTGTGTGTGTGTGTGTGTGTGTGTGTGCGCGCGCGCGCGCGCGTGCGCTGACGTATGATGCATTTCTCTAGCAATCTGCACCACTTGTTTTAAGATAAATTCTATCTGTGGACCTGAATCTCAACGACTGGATTATCTGATGTTCCAGTGAGTCCCAGTAGTTGTTCAGTCTCCCCATTCCCCATTCAGCATACCTGGTTTGCTGCCACACACATTTGTTTATTATTATTTTTTTAGTAATGGATTCTGAGTGCTGTGTTTAGAACCAACTGAAGGGTTCTTGTGTGTCAAAAACTTGATTTTTGCAGCCCCGTTGTAGTTTCTTTTTAAATTTAGGATGCCCTTTACCTGAACAAAATGCAGATCATCACACTGAGCTAGAGTGATCTTGTCTTTTGACCTGCATCAGTTCCTTAAGAAGCCAAAAAAGATTGTAAAACCTAGAAGACACAGGCAGCTCAGAACCACATGTGAGTTTAGATGACTCTGTGCCATCTGTTTGTCTCCATGAACACTACACTACCCATACAGAAGTAAATACCCCTAATTTAAAAAGTGTATTTTTTTAAAGTTCTCATCCAGTTCTGTAATTTAGCCCAATAGTCTAGTCTGTGTGTAGTTTATATTAAACCTTGATTCAAATGGTAATTTTAATACTTATATTTCTTGTATTGAATAAATACTGTTGTTGAAACCTCACCCTGTTAAAGGTTATAACATTGTTTCTGTCATCCAAGAGAACAGTTTAATTTTTCTTTCCCAAAATCTCCTTTCTCAATTCTCTAAGTTCTGTGTCAACCAGTTAACAGATAGCTCTGGGAACCCAGAGCTGAGAGATCATGTCCTCATGAGCACACACTGTTCTGCCCTCCATGCTCTGATTGGGATGCTTTACCTTGACCAGGGCATATGGGCAGAAGAGGCAGCGTGAAGCTAACATTTCTAACAACTACAGAAATGGATCTTAAACCCAAAAGATTTAGTTGCCTGTAACCAATGATATGAGTGCATTTACCCAAGGAAAGAATAAGACCAAGTATTATGGGTATGGATGAGAAGGGATGCCTGTGCTATGGAAATGGAAATGTGGTTCTACTAAGATATTCTGAAAACTCTGCGGGTCCCTCAGAAAATTGCACAAGATGCTGTGACCCTACAATCTTGCTCCTGGAAGAACAGACAAAAGAACAAGTTAGTGCAGTAAATCATGAAAGAAGGGAGGAAAGAAGAGAAAAGACATGAGAGTAGGAGAGGCCAGAAGGGTCAAAGGAGTGAGAGAAAGAGGGAAGAGGGTAGTGGGGTAAATCAGTGTATTCACAGTACATTATAAATGAGCGAGGTGATTTCTTTTTAAGCAGAATGAATGACATAGTTGGGAAAATTTTTCAAATAGCATAGGATGTTAATATACATATACCCATAGTTTGTGGAAAGGGCTGTCTCTGTTGTTGTATATCTGTCTGTGCGTATATGTCTGAGTGATGGCTTCAAAGATGCATACTTTCTCATCATCTATAGATAGTTTACCATATAGAGGTAAACTATCTGACCACAGAAACCTGCTCTGAGGTCAGGTGAGCAGCGAGGCTGGGATTCTTGGTTTGACTTCAAGCCTCTGTTACCCTGAGAAAGCCTCTGAAGACATTCTAGTTCCCATTCTTCTTTAAGATCCTAGTGACTCTCAAAGCACCAGAGTCAGAGAAGACAGCTGAACAGACCCTGTCTGCCTCTTTACGGTCTGTGGCAGATATAGTTATTCGTATATGTACTCTGCTCTCATTTTTAAATTTTCATTCAGGTGTCTGGTGTTGAACATGAGTAGTGAGATTCCAGCACATGCTGTGGTTCAACTACACAGTAGTCTTGAAAAGATCTTGGAGTCCAGACTCAGAATAGGAGTCACAAGCTGAGAGTACAGTTTCTTTCTACTTCTCCTTGGCCTCCTCCTTCTGTATTCTTTGTTTTGATTTATCCTCCCTACCCCAACATTCTCAAGATCCATGTTCAGTAGATTGATCCTTTACAGAATCTATTATAATGCTGGACATCAAGGAAGAAGAATTTGTAATTGCTGATATGGTTTACACATGTGTCTAGAGGCTAGTGTTGAGATTGAGTGTGTTTATTAGTTGATTTCTATGTTACTTTAGAGACAGGATCTCAAAATGAATCTGGAGCACAAATGTGCAGATAGATTCTTTGGATGGCTGGTCTTCCAGTCACAACACCCCCAGTGCTAGGAATGTATTATAAACCAACACACCCAGCTTGTAAGTGAAGTGTTGTGAATCGAGATAAAATACTAATACTGGGAGGCAGGCACCATATCACTGAACCAACACTTGAGCCCTGGATATTAAAACTGTACATTGATAAAAGAATTACAATCTATAAAAGCAAATTCATTTATTGTATAATAATTTTTAAAAGAGAAATTGTATTGCCAATTTTGGATTTTTAAAGCATTAACTGTTTAAATGAAAATGAGAGCCTAGAGTCCAAACCCTTATATATCCACTTAAATACCCTTAAAACTGACCATTATGGAATTCTGGAAATGGGAAAAGGGCAGGACCTGCAAAATAAGAGAGAACGTAAATAATTATCATAATATATTGTGTTGAAAGATTTCAAGAAAATAAATTCATTAACTATGGACAACACTGCATTTGTTGGTTGGGCATGGTGAAATATAGTCTCAGTTCATTCAATATGGAGACAAAAGCAAGAAAATCTCTCATAGCTTGGTCTATATAGAAAGTCCAGGACACCCAGGTGACCCTATCCAAAAAGAAATGAATGTGAGAGTTTTTCTGAGTGTGCTTGTGTAGGATGTGTGTGGGACTATATCTGGAAGTGGAACTCTCATTCTCTGTGTGTCTGTGTATGTTGGAATGTGTAGATGTATCTGGAAGGCAGACTTTGTGTGTGGCTGAGGTTGCAGTTGGACAGCCTGTCATGCCCCTTCCTTCATTACTTTCATGAGAAGAATTTTCTATTGTCCTACCTTGTGATCTATAAATATGATCAATGCTATGAACAAGAGCAACATGTGAATGAAAGGGTTTCTGTCATCTTAACTCTTAAAATCCACCATGAGAAAAATCAGGACATTAAATCAAAGTAGGAACGTTAAGGTGGGGACTGAATCAGAAAACATGAACTCTGCTGACCAGCTTGCTCTTCATGTTTGTTCCACCTGCTTTCTTATACAAACCAGGAAAACATTTTCATGGATGGCATCTTTAACATTGGCATGGGCCCTCCCAAATCACTCATTAATCAAGAAAATGGCTCCCACAGTCTTGTCTACAGACCAATATGAGGAAAGCATATTTTCCACCTGAGATTCTTTGTTCCCTGAAGTCTCTATTTTGTATTATGTTGATGAAATTCTACTGAAACACAAATGGACAGGCTGGTATATTAATGAAAATGTGAGCCATTAAATGAGTGCCATTGTTCACCACATGAGAAAAAAGATGACTGATGAAACACTTAAGAATAAGGATCCACCTCTCAAACAGAAGATAATTATAAATAATGTGTGACTTTACCATCAGCTCATTCCCTTTGCAAATGACTTTTGCTTAGTGACTTCCTTCTCTACAGATTCACAGAAACAAAACCCCATGGATCAAGAGAGTATAGAATACAGATGCAAACTATATCTGCAATAGCCAAAGTCAAAATATGGGAATAATAAGATAACCTAAAACAAGCTCCCAAATATATCAGAAATGTGTCCTTCACCTTTTATGTAAGCGCAATGAGAATATCAGACAAACCCAAGATAAGACATACTAAACAAGTCTGAAAAATATTCTTCTAACCTACTGAACATCATAAATAAGGTGAACACAGCACTCAAAGTGTTGGTTCCCCATCAGTATTTACAAGGATGACTGTCTCGCCTATGTTAAGTTCTAGCTCCCACTGCCACTCACAGTAAATATATTGTGCAGAACAAATTGAGGGACATAAAATGTGGGGTACCAATAAAGTAAATGGTGGACGTTCTTTGGGATATGAAATGGAAGGTTGGTTACAGCTCATTTCCCTTCCCTGGTGATTTACATTACTAAGGCATGTGACAAAGCCCTGCAATCCCTTGTCCTCTATGTTTATCCTTCCCACAAGGTAAGCAGTTCCCACTGTTCAAGTACACCTGCTTCCATGTCTTGTCATCACATAGGCTTCTCTGTCTTTTTTTTTCTTTTTTTCTTTTTTTTTTCTTCAGATCACATAAGCCTCAAGACTGGTTGGATGCTACTTTTTTTCATGGGTATTATAAACTGCTTTCTCATCCCTCAACAATGCAATAATCATAAAACCTGGGCTCTTATGTGCTACAACCTGAGGAGTGAGAAAGTGAGATTTATAAAAATAGAAAGAGAAAAACAGACTGACCTAAATAAAGATATTCAAGGACAAGTGTCCAGGTATAGTGTCCCTAATTAGAAAGGTAAATAGTGTTAGACTAATAAGATAGCATCCAGTTCAGTCACTTGAGTTATTTTTCCCAATGAACACATGGGATCACACATACTAAATGTTAGTAATCACAAGTTATCTTCTAGATGAGGGATACGAATAAGATTACTCTACTGAAACTAAAAGAATAAATTCTAAGTTTTCATAACTATGATTTCTGATCACTATGAACCCCAATTCCATCAATCCACTTCATGAAATATTAAAACATTCAAATGCATTGAGTAAGTGATACCCTATTCTCCAATCATTGATTGAATGTAGACTCATGG